ATTGTCTGAGGATAGATTACTAGTAGGAGACTGACCGGGTTAAAATCTATAATCATTTTTAAATCTCCGAAACTTCTCACATAATTGCTTTCTAAAAAGGAAGTACCAAGTCCTTTTGCATATTCAGTATGTGTCAACTCATTGGCCCTTTTCAAACAAACTAACAGGTATATAGGCACATGAGAATGCTTGAAAAATGTATCAGTTCTGCTAACACAGACTTTCCTCATCCTTTAGTCTACTTTTTAAAAGTTTTTAAATTGTGATGGTGACAACAATTTATCTCTTTCTTCAGATTCATGTGCATACATGCATTACATGAATGGATTTGGAAAAAGTGGTAACTGAACATAAATTGCAGTCTAGTTAATAAAATTGCCAAGTGGCTGAAATCACCATAAGATAGGCCTATACTCAAAACCTGTTGCTTTTCTTTTTTAGATAGATGTCACTTTAAAATATTTTTACATTCAAAAAAACAAAGAGAGCTTTCTGTTTATCTGCTGATTAGACCCAGAACAGATAAAACACAAAAATATTTTACAGTTAATATGAAAAATATTAAAATATTTTATGTTTATATTAACATACACACATATACATATATATTAAGAGATTTAAACTATTATCTGTCTCAGTTTCTGAAACATTACCAAACTTTTAAGTGAGGAATAGCATTTAGGTCAGAATGAAAACAACTTTAAATCAAATCTTTCATCTATTGAATTTTATCAACTGAGAGGCCTGAAAACAAAGATTGACATACTTGGACCAAATTTGGTGGCATGTGTGCCAAGAATGGTTTTTACATTTAAAAAAATTTGGGGGGGGGCTGTAGATGGACACATACCTCCATCTTATTTATTTATTTTTATATGGTGCTGAGGATCGAATCCAGTGCCTCACACATGCCAGGCTCGTGCTCTACCACTAAGCTATAACCCCAGCCCCAGTTTTTACATTTTTAAGGGCTGAAAAAAAAATCAAAAGATTTCATAATGTATGAAAATAATATGAAATTAAAAATTGACTTTGTCCACAACCAACTTCCATTGGAACACAGCCACATTCATTCATTTATGCATCACCCTGTGGGTGCTTGCAGAGTTGAGTAGCTCTGTGATGGAGACTTTAAGACTTTTAAACTTAAAATATTCACTTTCTGGCTGTCTAAAGAAAATGCTTGCCAATCTCTGCTTAAAGCAATGTAGGATTTATATTTCTCTTATTATGTCTGTTTAAAGTATTTTCCTAAGATGCCCTGCTGCTCATCAAAATTAATTCTTACCTTGTTACATTTGCATTTTTAAATTTGCTGTTTTCATCAACTTATAAAGCTGCTTTTTAATATTAATTTTGGAGAAATATTTTTATTACTTTCTATAGATGTAGCTAGAGCCTATTTCCACCTATTGGATGATTTAATTACTAAAATTAAGTCATTGGTAACTGGAATTCTGCAATTCTGGAAAATATGTGCATAATTCAGAAAGCATGTATATTTGAGGACAAAAAGCATATGTAAATCCTTACACACAAAGCAGAGACATTCCTATCCCCCACAGTTTTGTCAACCAACAGTTTTCTCTATCAGCCAGAAAAGGCTAATTGTAGCAGCCTATACACAGACCCTACTAGTTGGTGAAGGTGCCATTGTATCCAGTTTGGCTAAATTAAGCAAAGCTTCCCTCAACTCTGATGCATACACTGCTCATATTGTGGGAAGAGATTCCATAAACTCACACTTCAGTGCTTAAGTTCAGCTCTGCACAACGCAAAGCACTTCTTTGAGGACAAACCTTTGCCTGGTTGTTTTCATTCAACCTGATCTGAAGTCTACTGAACTGGGATGTTTAAGGGCCCTTTGTGGTGGCATCTATGATTCTGTGCAGCTGAACATGGTCAATTATTCCCTAGGAAATAGTTTTGTTCTTCCTTTGTTTATTTAGGCAAGAAATTGTTGTGGGATATCCAGCATTTTAAGTAACTCTGCCTCAAAGCATGTGTTAGAAACTATAAGGAGAGTTTATGACTTCTCAATTCTAAAAGGTTTCTCAGCTTCGGGTTTCTGGAATTGGTTGTGTCCATGTTTCTTCCCACCCTACTGGGACTTAATGTTGTTAGCAACCTCCTGTGTGGTTCTAAGATATTTTGACCTCTTTGAAACCTTTCCAGGTGTCATTGCCACTTTCTTGATCTCTGCAATATAAGCTACATTGTTTAGTGGAGTTAAGTTCTATGAACTTTAGAAATTCTCCCTGAGACTATGAATTGACTAACACCCAAGGCAGCATAAACATTCAGACACAAATGTTCCTAAAACCAAGCTTGCTGGGCAATGCAGGATATGACTAGAAGTCTGGAAAAAGGAACATTTTGCTCACTTGTGCATCTCTGACTAGCTCCAGGTGCAGTTTGAAGCTAAGTGGCTAGTTTTTCTGATCCTCAGATATAACCTCTCATTAGAACAAGCAGAAATTGCAACTGTGAATGTAAGGAATTCCATGAAGACCCTCTGGGCCTATTAAGACTGCTGGCTTCAGAGGTTCTTAAAATACACTTACTTCAGCACACACAGTTAGTAGTTTTCTGTAAATTTAATTTTAACTGAAAGAGAATTATAGTGACTGAAGCACATCTCAAAAATTTGAATATGGAGTATGCAGTTACAACTTCAAAAGAAAAACAAAAGTTTAACTGATACCGTCTATGTTTCTTATTTGTCATTGAAAGGTTCTTATTGTTGGGCTGGGGTTGTGGCTCAGCGATAGAGTGCTTGCTTAGCAAGTGTGAGGTACTAAGTTCATTTCTCAGCACAACATATAAATAAATGAATAAATAAAGGTCCATCAACATCTAAAAAATGTATTTAAAAAAAGGTTCTTATTGTTTTTGGTAATACAACTAAGACTTTGCAAGTAATGCAGTTTTGGTAATACAGTTAAATATTTACTTGGACTAAGAATCCTGTTTCAGTCTAGCTTTAGACTTGCATAGTCTATTCTATCAGATTGCTCAGCCCTTATCTTAAACCTTAAGATTTGCTAACACATGAATCATGCTGTCCAAACCCAGGGGAATGAGACAATGCTGTGGAAATGACACCAGGTATATGGAGAAACAAGAGATATGTCTTCTTGTCTAAAAATATGTGTAATAAATAATACAAACAACAGGAATATTGTGAAAACCAGCAATAAATACAAAAGTCTTGAAAATGTGGAAAAGGGCATAAATATGAAAGATATAGTGGCTGACAGTGATTGTTCATTTTTTTTGCCCACTGACCTCTCCCCACCCAGAAACTGTATGTCTCCACAATCCCAAGTCAGCTGTTCTTATGATCATCCTTTCCATCCTGGATCCAGTGTCCAGGGAATCTTGAGGGTCATGGAGGGCAATGCTAGTTATGCATCTTCAAATGGCCATGAGCAAGGTTAAGTTTCTTCTGCTTTGGTTTCTGTTGGCTGAGGCCTGCAGTTAGCTGTGTGTACACGGGCAAAGTGGCTATAGGTATGGTGTACAGTCACACATTACTGCAGCTCCTCAGAGGCTTCTTTCCTGCTACTAACAATAGTTAATTGCTGGGAATGCAATTACCATGGAAATCTTTATTAGATCTAAAAGGCTATACAGGAAGTGTAATAGGGGATTATAGATGTGTGGATTTTTTCCCCCCAACTGTGTTCTTTCACTTTTGCAATCAATAGGGAAAAAATAACAAAAAGAAGCTTAATTTTGAAATAAACACGATGTCCTTTAGCTATGTTCCAAGAGGCAAACAACTTAAAAACTCTCTAACATGGACATTTCTCAAGAAGAAAAATTAGAAAAAAAAAAAAAAGGCATGTGACCACCCTGAAAATATGAGTGCACTATCATATTTTGTGACACATTCTTGCAAGAACTTTTGTTAAAAAAGATTTATATACTTTTAATGTCCTGTCAGATCAATTTGAATTAAATATATTTAAATAAGAAATATTACCGTGTATCTGCTTCTCTAAATTTTATAACAGTGTGGCAATCTGATGAATGAAACAAGAAATCAGAATCTAGCTACTGGGGGAAAAATAAAGACCGTAGCCTGAGGGTATAACATATTCTGAAGCTGGCCTATAGACCAGATGGGAAACTTGTTCTCTAATCTAATGACTTTCTTTTAATCATAAGCAGACAGTTATTACTCAGAGTTTTAGAAATACATTATTCTTCAGAGTACTTCTTAGGATTTCTTTTACTCATTTAAGACCACAACTTTATATTTAATTCATCCTTGTATTATCCCCGTAGGGCACGTCTCTAATTATTCCCATCTAAAGTGACAGGAAAATGGAATTATACTATTGGAAAATAGGCATCCTTTGATATGTCTCTTCTTGGTGCTCCCTTGGGCAGTTTGTCATTGTGCTCACCGCATACAGATTTTGAGCTGTCCTTAGAGAGCACAGACTGTGACTTCCATGTCTTTGTATACCCAGTGCCTAGCATGTGCCTGGTATAGAGTAAGCACACAGAAAAAATCTGAATAAATGAATGAATGATAGTGCTCAACATAAAATGCTTACCGTATACCAAACACTAGTCTAGTGCTTTACGTATTAGCTATTTAGTCCTCACAACACTCTGGAACAGGTATTGTTTTTTATTTCCATTCTACGTATAAGTAAATGAAGCAGAGAAAATAGAGCAAGGTTCTGCAGAGCCAGGATGCAGACCCACATGCTTTGGCTCTACAGTCCCATCTTTTAACCACTACAACCCTGCTGCCCCATCAGTACCCTTGCTCAACAGGACAATGCTCCATTCCAGGAGAAGCCTGTACTAGGATATACTAGGCCCTACCTCTAAACATTCTGGGTTTCCATCAGATGTAGATAACCTGTGTGGTTCTTTGGGAGATTTAAATAAGGAAATAGCTAGACACAGGCACACAAATGCAAAATAAATGAATCTTCAGCCTTAACAATTGCTGTGTTTTAAGGCTGTTTCTCAAATACCTGTGGGGATTTGTGAGAGCGCCAGCTGTACTGGTGACTGTGGAGACTCGCCAGCAGAATATTTTCGTCAGTATCCACCTGGCCAAACCGCAGTGTCTCCTGTGTGTCATTACAGATCACAAAATGGCTGAAGACCAACTCCTCTACCTCAGGGCATTTGTTCTGAAAGAAAAAGAATATGAAAGCCAACGTGTATCAGATTAATTGCAAGATGTTTGGCAGCTGTCTGCCCAGTGGCCATTGTTATAACACAGAAACCCTAAGGATCTATTGTCATTAGCTCTGGTATACAAAATATTCTATACTTCCAGGATACGCACACACACAAAAATCTTAAAGAGATCATAAATGTTCCAAGAATGTGTTTTGATTTATATTCCTACAAAATAAATCATACACACAGAAGAGTAAAAGAACAATCCCTTTTAACATTTCTCAAAATGTATTAACATGCTACAAAGAGTGCTGGACTGGGGAGTGCACGTTTCTGAGAAGTATACTAGCGGCTAGAATTACCATGTCCCCAGCCTTCTAAACTCAACAATCAAGACCAATTAGCAAAGCCACAGTTTGTACCCTACAGAAAGTAAGGATCATTTAGGTAATACATCCCCAGATCCCTGAAGCGGGAGGGTGGATATGTGTGTAAATCTGTTCAGGGAGAGACATAAAGAAAACCATAACTTTCTCCCTATTGTTAAGAGGCTGAAGACACAAAACAGATCAACTCCAGAGTCAGTTTTAGCCAAATTGTAGTTTTCAAGAGAAATAATGTTAGTTGAAAAAATAGTTTCCAGTACCTCAGCTAATATTCATCAGTTAATATTCTTCACTAATCTGCTAAGTTTCAGCAAATTAGTAATAAATGTTCCTGTGTTGACACCTCTTTTTCGCCTAAATGGGGGCTTCATCAGCTGCTTTTACAGCAAAACACTGGCACAGTGATAGAGGACTTCTGTGATTATACTTTCATCATTCTGGTTAGGGTATGGTTTAAAAAACAGGAAATATTTTGGTAAACTAATGGTATAGTTAAGTAAATTGAAAATGTAAGGAAAAAATCATAATTAGCTTATCAATTTGCTGATGATGGGAGATACTATGCAACGGATGCTTCTCCAATTGGCTTCTCTCTATTTCCTGGCTGTGGCTCTAATGAACACCACAATGCCATGCTTCACCCTTCACCACTTTACTGAGATGAGGAAGAGTCAAAGGGGTTGGAATTCAGAAGCACAGTGATTTATGCAACAGGGTGGTGTGAAGCCAAGGATGAATGTATCTGGAACCAGCAAAGTTGGAGACCATACCTAGAACTTCCTTCAAGGAACAGTCATTTTGGGAAACAGAATCCACACCTAGATATGCATATTGTCCCTGAAGTAGGTGGCAGGGCACTGTTCCTGCAGCTGGAGAAGAGGCCCCAATAAGCCTTATTCTTCTGGTGGCCCTTGAGGACTTCTAAGCTATCATCCATCTATTTTCACCAAACCCGCTTGAAAGTCACATTAGTGACAAAAAGAATCTGGCTGAGTCCAAAGTACTTTTAAGCAAACTGTTTCTACCATAATGTTCTCTGTTGTAGCTCTTGTTCATTAGCTATGATTTCAAAACTTGCCTGCCACCAGGTTTTAGACATCCAGTCTCACTCATGGGCCCTGCCCATGGCTCTCTGTCTGTAACTTGAACTACTTCCCATTTGCTGATGATGCTTGTTCAGGACACCCCAACTCTACCAGTCTTTTTTCCATTTTCCCAAAACTACCCTGGTCTCCTCTCAATTTATCCAACATATCAAACTGCTTTCTGCCTCACTGCCTTCTCTCGGCTGGGATCTCTTTGCCCCTATCTCTTGCCTGACTAACTTGCTTCTAATTTTTAGGTTTATCTTGAAAGGTCACTTCCTCAGAGGAGCCTTCTGAGATCCTCCCCTGACCAGACCAGGTTTCTCTATTTTATACCTACATGACACTCTAATTCACCTTTCAGAGCACTTGTTAATTTGCACCATCCTGGGCTCAATATTGTCTCCATAATTAGACTATGCTGTATAAGAGCTGGAACCCTATGTGTATTATTTACAACTTCAATGCTAGTACCCAGCACAATGTCTAATACATAAGTACTCAATTGACACTTAGGAAATATAAAAATTTTAAATTATATGTTCAGCATATCAGAAGACAAAAAAGTATGAATTTAAAAAACCCTTTAATTTTGCAATCAGCAATAAGGCGTTTATTAACATTTTGGTGAATTTTCTTCAAGGAATTTTTTTCTCTTCTGAATATTCTGGTTACTGTTCTAATCTATCCTATCTGATCTGATCTTATATATTTATCTACAAACCTCTAATCAAACTGGAATCATAGTGTATAATTAGTTTTGATGAGATTTTTCCATTTAGTATTATATAATCAACATAAACTGCTCTCCTTATAAACATTTTTCTCTCCTTTCCATCCAAGAGTACAAACATGAAGGAAGGGATATGATTCCAATCTCTCACTTAGTTACACATCCTGAGATTAGAATTCAGTTTTCATAATGAATTGGGATCAATCTCAACACAGAGGTTAAGTTACCAGATGGAGCTTGAGTAGAAAAAAATTGTATTACTTCCCTCATCTTTAAAAACTGACCTTTAATAAATGATGAGGGTTTTAGGAAAAAATGTAAATTAAAGAACACAAGGGGGTTGTTTACATTTTTCTAAAGAATACTCAAAGTCCTCAGGGAACTATTTCTTTACTGCTCCTTCATCTGTGGAGTTCATTATAACTACAATAAGTTTAAGCATGTCTTGGAATGTTTTAAATTCTGTATTATAAAAGAGCTCATTCACATTTGCTGTGATATATGCTGAGCTTGAGAATGTTCACTAGGGTTTATAGTTAAAAGTTGACTTATTCATATTTAAGTTTCATGGCATATTGTATAGGCATTTGAAATTAAGCAGAGATACTGTTTTGTATAAAGGAAGATATATGAATATAATCTTGATTTTTGAGTATTCCCTTCAAATGCTATTTTGTTCAAATCTGGGAATGTGACAGAAATATAAAGCAAACTCACAATGGCATTTTGAGTCATTTAATTCAGTTTCACTAAACAGTCATCATGTATAAGACAAAGAAAAAAAGAAAGAAAAAAAGGAAGGAAGGAAAGAAGGAAGAAAGGAAGAAAGACCTACAGTCTGAGAAATCAAACATTAAAGAAGGTTTCTGTTAATCTTGAATTCATGACCTAAAGGTAAAAGGCCAAACTGTTTCATTCTTTAACTCTCTGGTCCATCTATACTGGGTAAAAATGACTAGTCTCTGATATGAATCTGATAAAAAGTATTGTGGAGGACTCAAATCACTTTTCCTACTTATTAAATTCATTTTTTCTCTGTGAACACTATATACATAATAAAACCCAAATTTTGGAAATTAAACTTCCCTACAAAGAGGGTAAACCACATTGAGACCATCTTAGAAAAAATGAACTTAATAAACCTCCATCAGCCCATTTCAATGTCAAACATTCTATAATTTCAAAGTAGTGCACTTTCATATTTACTTTAGAATACACAGGGTTAGAAGCATACCACATTAAAACTTGGTGGTAAGTACCCTTGACATGGGAGGAAACAAGAAAATTACAGCAACAATTACAGAAGTATATCCTCTTGTGGCTCATGTTAACATTGCCAAATCCCTGTATAAATCAGAACCAACTATTCATAGAATGTACCTGTCAGCAATATGCTACGTGACATATGGCTCTACTTAATCAAATATACAATTCCTCAAAAAAATTCAGAATATTCCTTCAAGGCACTGTGTTAGCCAGTCAGTCATTCACACTCTGATGTGGTTTAAAACATTTAAATATTTATGCACCATATTTTATTTATATGTATAGCTGTGTCTATGAGAATATTCCCTGGAAGGAAACTGATATTTCTGAAAGCCATTTTGCAGTAGTTGCTACACATGAGTCCTCTTATAATGGCTCTGATACCAAGACAAAAATATCCTGGGTTTAAATGCTGTATCAATGATTCTTTTATATTTTCTAGGTTTGTTTTTTATTAAATGCATTGTTCAAAATATGACAAAATAACAGGAATTGGAGCCATGGAGGTTTTTTTCACACTGCTATTTGAACCAGCTGCAAAGATTTAGATCACACTAGCTCTTATTTTACGCATGTCCTTTGCAACAAGAAAACCATGGAATGCCCTTAAAAAAGATTTTTAAAATATAAAACAGATGTGTTATCTTCTTTTCCTTTGCTATTTTAGTACCACGTTAGGTAATTAATTCCTTAGTCTTGTATAGGTCTTCATGCATATAAAGAAAAACATTAAATTTTATTTCCAGAAAATTAAATTGTCATAAAAATTCTGAAGTTATAGGACTAAAAATTCTTTTTAAAAATTATTTTTCATAAAATTTATTTTCATGAAAATTCTTACTGCCCTAAAAATCCACCTCCCCAATTCTTTTTACTTACTCCCATAAAAATTTTTGAGTTAGAGAACTAAAGCCCCTTCCCTCACCCTTTAGTGCCTCTGTTCCTTCAAGAGAGAAGGTAGGAGGAAGGACCATTCCTTCTGGGGAGCCAGCTCCACACAAGTGTTTGTAACATACATAAAATGTGGGAAATGTCTCACTTTACATAGCAACCAAACATGATGGAGATACAATATATCTGTGAAAGCAGAAATGATTTGTTGTTAAATTGCTGAACATATTATCAGCTAAACATTCTGTGAAATTACTTCCATGCTAGTTAGACATGAACAAGTTTCCCATTTTAAATATGTCATTTAGCAAAGACATATACTTTGTCCCTATTTGATATGGATAATTTCTTATTATAGATATAAATAAATTAATGAAGTAACCAAGAGTCTCTGAGGGGTCCCCAAAATCCATTATCCAGTGATTTATTTAGTGAGTCAATAAGCCAGAAAGATAGTAGAGGAAAAGACTAGAACTGTACTGTGCTCACAGATGCCATCTCACTTGTCTTTTGTTTAAGAAGCTGGAACACTATGATAAGGAAGGCTCACAAAGGTGGTTCTTTCATTTTGGGTACATGGCTAAGTTGAAGCTTTAGCAAAATAAGGGCACAGAGTACTTGGAGAAAATTTCTGGGAATATGTTAATTTCCACACAGATGTGGGACATTCGTCATAAAAATGTGGGCACAATCCCTGATGTGTGTGTAAAGAATTCATATTCTTGAAAGTTAAAAAAACAAAACAAAACAACAACAACAACAAAAATGTATCATTTTGCCCAAACAGAGAAGGCTCCAAATATTATGGTGCACATCAAATTCCTCACTCTCTCACATTTTTGTGTTTATCTTATAATTAGAAGTGATAACATACAGTACCTAATAAAAGATCATATGTAGCCAAACTGTAAACTGTTCTGGAATGTGCATACCTGTTGCCAAGCTTGTACTGCAGTGTTTAGAGAATGAACTACATGCTGTCCAAAGTTTATAAATATGGAGTCCACTGTCAAGGTGCAGTCAAGCAGCTTTCCCACTGCATCACTGGAAACTGCAATTTGTCCAAAGATGCTGAAAGGCTTTACTACACTTTGCATTGTAACATTTCTGCATTCTAGAAGTTTACAGTCTGCTTGAGCTGAGAACCGGATCTCCTGGCAGATAGAACCATTATTCCATTGTCGAAAATACATGTGTGGTTCTCTGAAGGAAACAATCATATATTCTAGTTCAGATGGTACATTTTTATCAGAAATGAATGGCTGTAGGTATTGTGGTGAAGCTGTTGAGAAAGAAACAAAAAAGCCAGGAATTAAGATAAGTCAATAGTTATACAAATAAAGAAATGATGTAAAAATCACCCACTTTTTGGTTATGAATTTAGTATTTAATAAATTCAAACATTCTCTTGAAGATATTAAAATCTTTGAATTTTGTTTCATATTTGAAAATAAAATTGTTTTGTTCAATTAGGTCTCTTAATGTATATTGTCTAAAGGTTACTTTCACTAACACAGACAAAAAATCTGAATGCAGAGAACAACGAATAAAACAGAGGAGGAAACTATATACATTTCTGTATCTACCAAACAGATCTCAAAAACAAAAATAAAAACAAGACTCACAGTTAGAAAAAGCAGAAGCAGGTTCAACTTTAGTTTTGCTGAAAAGGCAAGATGCTTAACAGCAGCTATGTTTGGTTTTAATCTGATTTCCTCCCTCTTCTTCCATTACATGTCAGGAATCAAAATGTTTTAACTGACATGTAAATCAAAATGTATTAACTAAAAAAGATTTGGTACAGAATATAATGCTTTAGAAATGATTATCCAAGTAACATTAGAAAGTTTATAATAGCCACTTTTGGTATGTGGGGAAATCATCTTCCTTCTAAACTTATAGAAATGTGACTCCTTTAGACTAAATTAAGAATGGGTTCACCATTTGTAGAAGGTACTCAAGCAGTATCAAGTGCTGTTGGAATTTATTTGCCACTAATGCGATAGCTCAGGATACAGAACAAAACCAGATGTGTTTCTGTCAAAAAGATCATAATTAAATTAATTATTAATGTTAAATTAATATTAAAACCTGCTGTTTAAAAAAATTTCTTGAAAATTCTCTTAGGAAGCCTGCCAAAATGTGTGTCAGCTCAATACCATTGATAACTTACAGGTGTATAAGCTGGTTTAAAAGTAAGGGGTATACATTTTGTACCAGAGCAACTTCAGAATAACTGCCAGTACTCACTTCATACTTCCTGGAAATAAGTCAGCTGGGTCAAAATTGATGAACTGTATCTTAACAGCACTTCAGAGGTGAGAATTAAGTGAATGTTGTCCTGATGTTAAAGGAAAAAGTACCTGTGCCTAGTTGATCAAGATGATGACAGAGATGGAACTCCAGGTGAGCAAACTGGAAGGACATGCAAAGAGATGGTACAAACCACGGGGTAAAACAGGAGTCAACTCTGGTACAGGCGGCCAGGGCTGTTGGAGTTACAAGCTGATCACAAGTGCTTTGAGAACCAGATTCACTTGCAGAGCTATAGGAAATAAGTAATAGGAAAAGTTTGATAACAGATTTTCTAATATCATATAAATATGTTTTTCCTATATGAATTCCTAAAGTGGGACCAAAAAATTCTAGTCAAGATGTTATCATCAAATCTTCTGTATATACTCACATAAATTAGTTTAAAAAATAATTAAGTTCATGTTGACTTATCGTATGTGGATTGTTGGGAGAATATTGTCAAAGGATTCCTTCAGGTCATAATGACCTAGCTCCAATCTAATTTTATTCTCCACACATTTATAAAAATTATGGACAATTTGTTCTCATATTAGTTTAAGACCAACACAATTCAAAGCATGACTCTGCTTCTCCAAAATCTATTGGGCTGGGATTGTGGCTCAGTGGTACAGCACTTGCCTAGCATGTGTGAGGCACTGGGTTTGATCCTCAGCACCACATTAAAATAAATAACTAAAATAAAAGCACTGTGCCAATCTACAACTAAAAAAACTTGTTTAAAAAAAACCCTCAGTATTATCAGTGCCACCATGAATGTTTCACTTTTGCTCTACTTCTTCAGATTCCCATGAGTCAGTCAGTACTCTTTATTGAACACCCAGTGAATATTATACTAGATAACAAAAAAAGTTATGACCATGTCCAAAGAATGAGGATCCCATGGACAATATTGCATGGGTCCTCTCTTCACTTGCTCATTCTCTTGACATTATTTCGTACAAGTAGATATGACTACATGAGTATTGAAGGCATCCACAAGAGGATAGCTCCTGGTATGTGCATGGGAAGCATGAACAGACTGCATTAGTGCTAGAGGGAGTATGAGAACTGAGGATTAGAGTGAAGGAGGAGAATAAGATGCATACTGTTAATTGTGGATCAATAAATAGATGCTGCCCCTTTCCTGATCTCCATTCCTGCCTTTCCAATTGAATTTGCTCTATAGTTCTGACTTACAAATCCATGAGGAGCCTAGAGAACATCACTGTGATTTATAGTATATTTGAGAGAACTATGTCAGATACATTCTTGATTTTTCAAAGAATTCATAATCTAACTGGTGATACCCAATTCATAGATGTTTGCAAACATTATAAAACATCATCTGGAAATGGGAAAGTCAAAGTGCTGACAGAGTGGATACCTAAGAGGAACTTGAAATGGCATAGGATGAATCACAATGGATTCTCTGAGGTGTGAATCTTCAGATGGGTTTTGAAAAAGGTTGGTGAAAATGAAAGCTAGAAGCATTCCAATGTGTTTACTGAATTGTTTAACCTCAAAGTGTTTTTAGTTATATGGTGGTGTTTATTGCAATGCTAGTAAATCTCCATTGCATACAAAGAAAATACAAACTCTGGAGCAATATGTTACTCACTAAATACTATACACAAAAATGCAGCTAAGACATTCTTAAAATATCTATAAATGAGCACACTATTTAATTTAAATACATTTCTAGGACTTTATAGAATTTCAAATAAAAGATTTCCTTGGCAAGGTAAAATTAATTTTTATTTATTCAAAAACAGTAAACTATATTAGTTGTTCACACATTTGAGCTCTTTCCCTTATTCTAAAGATGTTGTAAAAAATAGGGTACAAAGTTAGTCAAAATATTATTAAAAATAGAGGCAAGAGTTCTACAGATCAGTTTTAAAACATTTAGTGCACAATTTGAGGTGTTTATCTGTAGCATTTTTCTTGCCAACTACGATTTTTGGCACCCCAACATTTTCCAAGTTTATTTTTTTAATCTGTAGAGATCAGCAGATATTATAACATATTAGAAAAGGTTGTGAAAACATCATGAGTGTCTGCCATAATCTTCTTTAAAACAAACTGTTTAATTCTTCACTTTTTTTCTAGATTAAACACATAGTCAGTATATTAGAAAGAAATTTTTAAAGTATACATAGTAACTCCTAAATCATAAAATCATACTCATGTGATCAGCAATACTCTCTTTGATCTTGAAATTCTGACTAAAATGGTTACTAGGTTAATCTATTTCAGAAATTTAGGCTTAAGACATATCAAAATTAAACATTTCTTAAACATAAAATTAACATGGAATATATAAAGTGAACGTAACTGTACTTTGAATCAGTTCATTTGTAAGTTTCTGATACTATAAATTTGATTACCACTACATGCTAAAATGTTATCTGCTTACCTTTTACATAAGAATTGAAAAGATCTCAGTGAAAAAGAACTAAATAGTCATAAATATGAGTTATGACCTTCTAGAAACTTATAGTAGCTAAATTTTTATAATTTTTGCATTAGGTACAGTGGACTCTGAACTCTCATAAGTGTACATTAATAAGATATACAATAGGCAGAATAGAGAAGAAAGTTTTAAAAAGTCAAAAAATTTCAACCTATGGTATTTATATTCCAACCCTTTCCTTTTTCCAAAAAGATTTTCAAAACAGGTCAATTTCAGGCCAAAGACTTCTAACATGGTGGGAAATGGCTCCTAGAAGCAAGACCTCTAGTAATAGAGCTCAAGATCCAGGAGTTTGTTCAACCATTGTTAAGTTCAGTGCAAAATCAATTTTTTTTTTTACAGCAATGAAACATTCTGAATGCTGGGAGTTTTATCCACATATAACTTCATTTTAGCTCAAGGGCACCTTATCAGCTATGCTGGTGGCCTACATTTAGATGTAGATTGAATCTACCTTAATGGCACTGTGAGGACCCAGGCATATCCCCTAAAGATTCACCCCTGTGTGCCATCTGAGATGAACCCCTACAACACAGCAGGGGTGTGACACAACTGATGAAGACCTGAGCTGCTTTCTGGATCTTCCTGTGGCGTTAGGTTTTACTATATAGCATAATAGAGCATACAGGTTCAACAAAGAATGACGAGGGTGAGAGAACCTGTGTCAAAATACATGCCCTGCGATCACTTGTACTGTACTTAATGTTGGGTAGGTTATTTCATTGGGCTAAATGTTAGTTTTCCCATTTGTAAAATGAGTATAGTAACTAGACTTACTTTTTGAGTATTAAATGAGACACTGTGTACTACTTAGCATAATAGGAAAAAAAAATCCTGCTCCTTGCTGTCCAAATAAGGTACAATACTGGATAACTGTTGAAAATTATCTCAATGGGCACTGCCTCTCAACAATGGTTCACATAAACATTCTCCTGCTCACTGTATTAACACTGCTCTATATTCATCCTGGGAGAGTCACAAACAGATGACAAGACATTGGAGCAAGTGTGTGCTTGCCATAACACATGCCCTCTGGTCCTTACAGTTGTAGTTTCTCAAATGTCTTAACCCTACCCAACATAAAAAATACACCTTTATTGAAACACTGTAAACACATGTAAAATGGGAGGGGAGTTTTCCAAAAAGATGACACATACTGATATTTTATATTGTTACTGTATCATAAAATTTATCATTTGAACCATTTTAAAGTATGTGGTTAGTGGCATTAAGCACATTAATTTTTATGAAACCATCATCATCACCCATCTCTAGAACATTTTATTTTCCCAAACTGAAACTCTATACCCCCTTAAACAATCACTCCCCATTCTCCCTGCTCTCCAGCCCTAGCAACCACTATTTTTACATTCAGTCTCTATAAAATGGACTACTCAGGACCACATGTAAGTGGAATCATATGTCTTTTTTTTCTATTTTATCCTTTTTATTAAAAAATTTCATTTGCAATCTGCTAAATTCTCTCATAACCCACTAATGGATTGTATTCTGTAGTTTGAAAATCAACTTCAAATGGGTCCTCAGGTAAAGAGTTCCTTTAAATTTAGCTAGAGAGAAGTAGAGAGAATGCACACACAAGATGTAGAGATATCTCCCAAGATTCTTAGAATAAGCAATGTGATACAGAGACATTCTTAGTATTATCAGCCTAGAACTTTAAATGAGACCTGAGGGACACCAAGTACTTCAGGGAATGTGTATCAAAGACTATGTGGCAAAGAACCAAACCCCTGCAGGATTCCTGCATAGACTTAGGTCATTAACTAAAAGGAAATATTCAAAGGCCTTAAGAGTATACTTGGGGAAAAAACTGCCAAGGAAGAAAGGCAGAAATTCATGTTTAGCCCTAAGAAAGAATAAAACTTTTCTGGATATATCCTGGAATATATTATTGTATGACTAGAGACATAGGTGTCTAAAGCAATTCCAAATGTCAAGATTTATGTCTAAATGGCTTACAACATTCAAATTTTGTTTAAAATAGAAAAGTTGCCCCCCCCAAATTTTGGTGAATATAAAAGAAGATTTGAGTAGCCGAATAGAGGGGAAGCACCTGGAGGCCACAGTCATTTCCTCATAGAAGGTGGAAAGAGAAACTTAGGGACTTAGCAATCATTGATCTCCCTCTGATTCTTCCATTGCCTGTATTTGTGAGGGTCAGAGCTTTTAGAAATGAAACCAGTTCCTCCTCCCATACAAAAGATGTGGGTCACTGTCTCAATGATTATGGGAGATATGTGGACAGTGACTTCTTTTATGGGATCTTAAGAGGGTAGGAGGGGAAAGAAGAAAGTGTACATGTAAATGTGCTTAATGCTACTGAACTCGTTTCCTGCTTTTTGTCACATCCAAAGATGAAAGCACTTCAAAAAACTTACAAGATGTTCAATTTTCATCATATAAGGGAAGAACCACACACCTTAAGTCATTTCTCTTTCCAAGATGACTCCCATCATCAATCAGCATTTTTGGGGTGGTGATAGAAAGTCCTTATAAGGCATCTGCTCACATGTTTTAAAGTTGTGGGAAGATAGCCATGCAATACAGGCAATACAGGCAATGAAATGCCAAAGACAGATCAACAGAGTGTAACGTTATCATCAAGCAACTTATAATCAAGTATAACTGGATATATACATAAAAATTTGTGGTTAATACTGTTATATCTGGTGTATATCTATAATTTGTTGATGTTAAGCAGCCAAAATAAGTACTTCTGAAATTGGTTATTTGGAAGTGAACGTAAAGGGGGAAACAAAGGATGTTCTGATTCATCAGAAGACACCTGATAGGAATCCCAGGGAACTGGGCAGCATGGCTCAAAGTCTGACAGCAGGATCGTGACTCCTTCTCCCTTCTATTTTTCCCAGAGTTAGTCACTGGGTAAGAAACTGTAAATTGCAATTAAGTCCATGTGTACTTGCTGGGCATCTTCTGTTTGCTATCTAGATCTATTTTCTACCCTTCTCCACATTCTTCTCTGTCCTTGGGAAGGACCTTTCTGCACTGCATCAACAAGCTATTTTGTCCTCTTGCTTGTCCATAGGGTTAATCAGTGGAATGTACCCACAGATTAGAAGGCAAGAAGGCAGTGAAGTAAGTGTGTACATTTTCCTGGCTCCTTCTCAGCCAGATCTCTGTACATGGCTGTCTTTTTACCAAAAGTAGCTACAAATACCCACTCTGAGAATTTTGGGTAAGAGCTCTTTCACTTGGGCTCTTTTAGGCCTAAAGTGGGGTAGTTTCCCAGGGTTCCTAGTCACAAGGTACTGTGCCATCCCCTGACCTCTCCATACTCGTAAAAAGAGTCAATTTGAGCTGCCATCCTGACAGGGACTGACTGGTAAAGGGGGCTTATTGAGGTTCTACAACAGGCATTAAGTATGACCAAAGACATTCATGATAGAAATAAAGATAAATAATTAAAATGGATAGCCTCAGAAGGGTTCCAGAGTTTATGTCTCTTGCCCTAGTCTAGTGTATAGGAAATAGAATGGGTGGGTTCCTAGAGATCTATAGTATTGTGGAAACTAAGACTGAAGCACAACATTGACTATACTGCAAATACTACCTCCAAAGAACCAGAATCATTATCAACTCCTTGTTTAGTACAGTTAAGCAAACCATTAGTTAAAGATAGTGGAATGGAATGATTGACTCTTTGTCTTCAGCCCTTTGTACTGGAGGTTCCCTGTCTTACATTGAACTCGTTGTAGCACCTATTTATTCTTCAAATTCTCAGCTTAGCAATCTGTTTCTCAAGGTCAAATACTGTGTTTGTGATGGAGTCAGAACTTAAGCCCAGGTCTTCTAGTTTGGAATTCTGTTATACTTACCTCTATTTACATACATACACTGAGGCTAGTATCATTGTGGCTGCAGATCTATACTGTTGGGCTGTTGGAATGTCATCTCAATCATAGGCAAGAGGCTCTTTTTTTTTTTATAAAAAAGAAATTCATTGTAACTTATTTTTTATGAGCATTTTCCAGTACATCCAATAGTCTGATGCATATCTTTCTCAAGCCATGGGAAATATTACTTATGATAAGACAATCTCTAATCATAAAGTGCCAAGTTTTGGTATACATTTAGAATTTTCATGTGACAGAACATACTGAAGGTAACTAAAAAAGCTTCTGTCTGCATGCAATTTTTGCTTTTGTTTTTGATTTTTGGTGATGAGAACTAAACCCAGGATCTTGTGTATTTAAAGAATTCCTTCTACCACTGAGCTACTATAACTTAGTCCCTTGATATTTTCTTTCTAGAAATTAGATGACATTTTTTATCCCTTTTAAAAAATATCTTCAGAGTATTTTATTATGTTGCTTTTTAAACTAACTCTTCTAATTCAATTTCTCCAATGTCAATTTTTACCTGAGAATAGATTAACCTCAAACAATTTAAAGTGAGATCAACTGAAGGGCTGGGGATGTGGTTCAGAGGTGGATCACTTGCCTATTGAGTATAAAGCCCTGGGCTCCATTCCCAGAACTGGAAAAAAAAAAGTAAGGTAAATTGTGAAATATTAGAAAAAATCCAAAATCCTGGGCAAGGACAAAAGATATGTGATCAAAAAGTCAAAATCTTGGTGAAAAGCATCCTGGATGTGGTTGTCTGTATAAATTTCTGTCTCCTAAAGGTTCCATATTTCAATAGAGCTAAGCTTACCACAAAACTAATTGTTATGAATGTTTCAGATTCAGAGGAATTAACCTTGTCCAAAATGGTTCTTTCAGTGATGAAAAATGCATTCTTCCATAATTAAAATCAAGAAATTATTTCTAACTTGATACTATTAATGTAACACAGAGTTTGAAAATCAATGTAATTATCTATAGCTCTACTTTCTCTTAGATTTCCTCAATTCTGATGAGGTAATTCATATTTAGAAAAAGCAGTCTATCTGTCTGCTAATTCCATAAAAAAAATAATAAAAATAATTATTTTTATTGCTGCAATACTTTGGGTAAAAATCAAGATCCTACTTCTCTAATATATTTTCACCAATTGTGTATTACTAGGTAACATACTAGGAAGATAATGACTTTTAAGGAGCTCAGATGACCTTGAAATAGAATATATAGAGTATAAAGCACATCACTATCATAAACATACAAAGTTATAATCAACAAAAAAGACTCAGGTTACAGAGTGAAATGTTAAGAGGTTACTCTGGTGTGGTATGATTATAGAAGGTGTTATCTACTTTCCAAATGTTCTTCAATTAACATATAATTAATAAAAATAAACACTTTAAAAAGAAAAAGCATTTTCAATTATTTATAATATAAAGTAGGAATTAATACAAAATGATGTGCTATGATTATAACATGTGTGTACATATGGGCAAAAGAGAAAATAATTGATTTGCAGAGTATTGGAATGGTGAATATTTTTCTCTACATTAGAGTCAGAATGTTGTGTGGGGGGAAACAAATTGTACAAAAGGAATAAAATAATGTTAAATCCAACCCAACTGCAAAATTGGAAGGTAGGACACTGAAAGCAATGAACAGTCTTGCTGTACACACAATACTATATTATTTAAGAAAACTGTTCCAATATTGTAGTTTACTTTTTTGTCTTTTATGAAAGCATGAGCAGAAAAGTTTGGTAGGGTGTGTAAATTAGAAGAGATGCTGTAGAATAGGTTGCTGAAACCATTTTCTCTACCTTAAGTCAGTCCATGTGTTATATAGGCAAAAAACGGAAATGGGTATAATCCAATCCCTATCTACCACTAACCAGATGTCTATTAGGAATGAGGAAGTTCCAGGGACAATGATACAGAATACTTGAATTCTATAGCTCTTGAGATTCACTTTGGTCAAATTGACTTTATACAAAAAGTCAAAACTTTAGCTTTCTGAACTTGGTTAGTCAAGCTTTCCTAATGTCTGCAGGTCTGTCTTTTAAAGTTCTTAAAACCATTCCAGATGGAAATATTTCCAAAATTTACGTTTTAGGACAGAATCCAATTTACTTAAACCTTCCTTTTAATGCCCAGGGTTATCTTTATACATAATGATTACTATGCCACTAAAAGTCTATTGAGGTATATGTGGCTCTTTTTCTCTGTATTTTTGGCTTCAGGATGACTGGATTTATTTTTTTTAGTTTGCTTTTATGTATATTTTTCCTTATATTTAAGGAATAAATTCTTAGGAAGGGTTCACAGGGCTGTATTATTAGTTAAACAGGATTTTTAGTACAGACTGTGAAACATCAGACTTTATCTTTCTTCCTCCTGGTCCTTATCTGTAGTTCAGGCAGGTGCTAAGCAGTTGAGATACAACCAAGTAACCCTTTTGAATCAAACTGTGAAATATGATATATCAAGAAAGATGTAATGTTTTGAACAACCAACAATAAAAAAAACAAAAAAGCAAAAAAAAAAAAAAAGAAAGAAAAGATAATTTGGAGACTGTTTCCCAGCCTAATTCCACTAATGCTCTTGTCTTTTGTTGAGTTACCTTTGGTCATCAACTCCATTTTGGCTGCTATTCAAGACAATTCTCCAAAGATCTGAGGATACCAGTTTCTTCTGGTCATTCACAAGATTGATGTCTGGCAACTGCAGTTCACAAACTTTGCTTTCAGACAAACTAAATTCTCGAAATGCAACAAAAACCTTCTGGAGTTCATCCCAGTATTCCAGACTACAAGGAACCTATGTCAGAGTAAAGAAAATTTTACAAGTTATAAATAGGAACTAAGCTTTTGTATATGTTGAAATGCAAATTAAACATTCATGGAAGTTATGATATTAAGACTTTGAAAGGAGAATAAATTTGTTAAAGACAATGGTGTTTAGAATTTTTTTCATAGTTATCTTACTGTTTTTTTATTTTTAAAAGACCCACAAAAAATAGACAAATTTTTCTGAATAAAAGCAAAATAATGGTGACAAGTCCTACAAGGTGTTAAGTGTACTCTAAAGCCATGAAAATTAAAAGGCTGGAGTAGCAACATATGAATAAAATAAAAGAATAGAATGAAAAGGTAAGTACAGATGAAATATTAGTATGTAATGAAGATGTTCTTTCAAATAAGCTGGGGACAGATGGAAAATGTGGTTTAGAAACTGTCTAGTCATTTGGTGAAAACAAAATAGTCCCTATATCATTCTTTACACAAAAGTAAATTCCAAAAAGATGACAATGGTAAAGGCTAAAAAAATGAAAGCATAGAGGGAAAAATATCTGTTAGTGTTTTTGTTGTTGTTTTGTTTCTGTTTTTTCTTTTGTAATTGGGCAGTATTTCTATGCATGCAATGAAATGAATGAATGGAGAAAAACTATGATTGATTAAAATAAAATTTAAAAAAGCTTCCTGGGATAAGAGGAAATATTCAATGACAGATCAAGGAATATTTGTTCCAATGGCAGAGAGCTCTTATAAATCAATGACAAAGGGATAAGCAAGCATACAGAAGAGAGAAATGCACCTCCTAAGCTCGGTGGTCCTTAACTGTACCAAATATCTATTGTATACATAGCATCCCCCTTGGACCCTTCTGCATCAACTTGTGGGACTTGGGGAGCAAGAAGGAACCAGTGCAAATATGATGATCATGCTGTTTACTGTGCCAAAAGCAATAAAGATCTTTTTTTCTGACCCAAGAGTCGTCTGTTTTCTGCTAGCATACATGAAATATTAACAAGATAACTTAATAGCTTGCACAAGGTAAAAACCCCAGACCCTAACAGCAATTAGTTTACAGAAGAAATATAACAGTCAGTAGACATGAAAAGGGACTCAATTAATAATCAAAAATACCAATGAAAATAATAGTGTAATATTTTTATTTATTAATTTGGCAGTTTAAGAGGACTAATAGTTTCAATTTTTGTACAGGTGTGGGAAAATTCTCCTACACAGTATTTTTGGAGGGCAATTTAGCAATACCTATTAAATGCTTATATTTTTATCTAGGAAGTATATTTCTAAGAATCTGTTTTATAGATTCCAATGCAAAAGTGTGTGTATGCATATATACGTATAAATACACATATTATGTATCTTGTGTGATTGTACTTATTTATATACACAGGAGTAAATATAACTTTGTGTGTATTAGAAAATTGGAAACAACTCAAATATCAATGGGGGTTAGTTTTAGATCTACAAAGTGGACTTCTATACAACCATTAAAATGAGTAAGGAATATCTCTATATACAAACACAAAAGATACCCAGTATATATTACTATATTTAAAAATATTAATTTTAAAACAAAAACATGGTGTTTGATCTGTTTATCTTAAAAATAGAGAGAGGGGCTGGGTTTATAGCTTAGGGGTAGAGTACTTGCCTAACATGTGTATGGCACTGGGTTTGATCCTTAGCACCACATAAAAATAAATAATTAAAACAAAGTACTGTGTCCATCTACAACTAAAAAAAGAGAGGGAGAAACAGATAGACAGACACTTGTCTCACATATGCTTCCTTTTAGAAGCATTCCCTAATGACTATCCTGAGCTGATCACTGCCTCTTGTGTCATCTCTATTCCTAGTCCATTCTATCATAGAGCTCCTTATACTCTACAATTCCTGACTTACATGTTTGTCTCTTTTACTAGACTCTGAGACTCTGGAGGGTAAAAAGGCCATATTACTTTAAAATCTGTTGTGAGCATTTAGCACAGTTTGGAAAACATAATATCTCAAAAAAGTTTCCTGAGTGAACAGATTTTTCCTTAACCCTTTTGTCCTAAAAAACCGAATTGCCCCCTCCTACCCTGGTAGTGCCAGGTATCAAACCCAGAACCTCATGCATGCTAGGCAAGTGCTCCACTACAGAGATATATCCTCAGGTCCTCTTGATACTTAATCTTTCAGTGGCAATATATTTACTTCCGCCTACAATGAAGTTTCTTTTCTTTAAAAAGTGAGTGAGCATTCATATATGAAGAGATGTTAGATGGAAGAAGGGAGAACAAAACAAATATATGTAAGAGACTATCAGTAAAATAAATGCACATGTTTTGGATTTTGATAAGTAACATACTCATAGTATTCTGTGTTTAGCTATCATTTCTTGAAATTCTCCTTCTTGCTATCCATGGCATAATTTTCTCTTTCTCTCTCTGGGTAATTGTTCCTATATTCTCTCTCAATCTAAAATCCCTGTACACTCTATTTTCTCACTGTCTAATGTGAGAAAGATAGATGCTACCTTTCTCTGGGCGTTTTTACCTCTCCAGATGGAAAAACTCTCCCCTTTCTCAATGCCAAAATTTAAAAATAGGAATCTGTTTCATAGTTCTTATCACTATATACCTCAAATTACACTTAATTCTATACAAGGTATCTTCCCTGGTAGATACATTCCTTGAGGGAATGATTTCCATTTGGCTAAACTTTGGATTTTTATAGCACATGGGATAGCACATACAACTGTTCAAAAAGAGTTGCTGAATGAATAATTCATAAATGAATATATACAAACTCAGCCCATTTTTTGGCACATTAAAGAATCTCTACAAAGTACAAAAGTAAAAACATGAACTTTGCAGTCAGACTTACTGGGATTCAAATCCTATCTCCATTTATAAGTTCTTGAGCAAATTAATTTTTCTAACATCAGTTCCTATCTCTCTAAAAAAGGATATTAATAGACCTACTCTCTATAAATATATATATTATATATCTTGTGTGTTTTGTACATATTTACTGTACATAAGAGTTTTTGCAAAATTAAAACTGCCAGGTTAGAAAAATTACTTTACACAGTAATTTTTGCAAAAATTAAAGACCTTAAGAAATATTATCTATTATTTATCTTCCTCATGCTTGAAGAATTCTCCTGAAGGAAGCTTTATGTTATGTTGTAACTAAAATCAGGTGAGCCATAAGAGTCTTGCTTATTTTTTCCTAACAATAGGTTGTCTGAAAAAAACAAACCTCAAACTCAAATGTTTGGAAATATTATAACCCTAGGTTCCATATGATTTTCTGCTGCATGCCTGTCAAACTAGCCTTCTACGCATACTATAATTATAATGTAAAAAATTTCATTGCTTAACTTTTTCTTTAGATTTCTAGTGATCCTGCTCTTTGTTTTAAGAGACTTCTAACCAAGGATGGAAGAGATGGGGGAAGTGAGATATGAACCTCTAATTGGCAATATAAGAAATCTCAGTGGTGGGGCTGTGGCTGTGGCTCAGCGGTAGTGCACTTGCCTGGCATGTGTGAGGCACTGGGTTCAATTCTCAGCACCACATATAAATACTTAAATAAAATAAAGGTCTATCAACAACTAAAAAAATATTAAAAAAAAATAATCTCAGTAGAAGTAGTAAATGAGTTTAGAAAAAGTAACTAATAACTAATGATTTTTCTGTAATACTGATAATGGAATGGAATGTTCAACATAATCTTTTTGTGGACAGATTACAGAGGAAAAAAGAGTTTGACCCTGGCATTGACTCCAGAAGTTTTATATTAGAATTAATATATACAATAGCTAGTGAAAAGTTGCGGTCATACTGTAAAGCAGAGTAGGACCTTAAGGAAAAAGTACTATTAACTTCTGATGGTGGTGGAATTAGTCTATGACATAGGAAAGTTCACAGTGGAAAGTGTTATGGGAAGCCAATGAACATGGACAGTACCAACACAAGTTGGGGGAAGGAGGAACTGTGGGGGCTCAAAAATGTGCAGGAAAGCTAAAGAAAAACTTTATTTAGTTTACAACTTGTATAAGGCTGACCCTATGGTTATACACTACAGTTGGACAACTCTGAAATTTCAGAAAACAATAGAAAACTAGTACAGAAATATATCCCAATACATGTTAGTGTTTGTCAGGAATTTTCCTTTTTGCACCCTATTTTCATTGGTTAATAAAAGGTATTAAAAAATTTGCTCCAAATGAAATCCCTATTAAAAACAAATTTATACCTGAAAGTACATTTACAAGTCACACAGTTACCCTTTTTTATCCCATCATAAGAATATATACTATCTTTGGCATTTAAAAACAAATGCTAAAAACAAGTATCACAAGCATTTTAAAGGTAATTTTATTCAATCATCCATTCAAATATATATATGAGAGAGAGTGCCATAAATTTATAAAATTAAATAATATAGGTGATAATATTCACATTACCTTATTTTTCCATCTAAAATTAAAAAAAAAACCAACAAATCTCACTGGTATTCTACAAGAGATAACATTCTGGTCTGCCACTTAAATCACTGCTCTATGACTTTGGGCAACCTATTTAATGACCTAAGCCACACTTCTCATATTTGTAAAATGAGGGTAATAAAACTTACATTTTAAAAAGTATAATTAAGGAGGACTTTAAATCTTTAGGTCTATTGTATGCCTTTAAGGGTTTTAAATAAAGAGGTGATATAGTTAAATTTACATTTTTCAAAGATTCAGAATATTATAGAGAATGGATTTGAAAAAGGTTAAGTATGGATGCAATAAGACCAATTAGGAGCTCTGAGCTAGAAATGGTAATAGCTTAGAGTATGGCTGGTGGCACTGAAGATTCTTGGGATATAAAATTAGTAAGTCTAGTTGATTGATCAGATATGAGAAGTGAGAGGGAATTATCAAGGATGCCTCCCAAATTGCAGGCATGAGCAATGATGTGGACACTGATATCATTTCTGAAATGGGTAAAAGTCTGATTTGTTTCTCTAGGG